TGGGTTGACCTCAGTGCCTTTCCTGAGAGGAAATCACTCCCCAGCGCAAAAAAGAAGACCGGGGTTAGAGCTTTATAGAGACTGCAGCACTACTTATCTCGGTGGTGACTATAGACTTAAGCTTTAAGCCAGGCGCATATACTCTGTACTCTGTCAAAGTCCTATTTCTGGAACTCAGGGCAGCCTCAGAGGGGCCTATGGAACCTGTGCTGTGGGGCTCTGACTGAGAGGAGCCCATTGAGTGCTAGCACTCGTTAGCACACGGCAGGTAGAGAATCTGGAGCAAGAGAGCAAGAGGCTTGGAGGAAGAGCTAAACGGGAACGTGACACTAGGGAGACAACTTGGGGTGAAAGGGACTGGCAGTAGTGTGGACACTGGGAGATTCATCCCTGGTTCTGACTCTCCTCCTGGTTTCCTAGCAACGGTTGTTGAGCAGGTGGTTGCTAGGCAATCTGGGGACATCCAGTTGGATAGGTCCTCAGTCTGCGTGGGCACTGATCAGACATCACGTAATACTATTAATCCTGAATCCATTACTTAGATTTTCTCATCTAATAAATGCTCCTTTGCACACAAAAGAAATTGTAACAATGGCACACGAAGTCAGGAAAAATGAGAAAAAAATTCACTCTATGATTTCATCATCTAAACAATGTAAAAGTGACCCTCTTCACCCTTCCCAGTCCAGCCTCTCTCTGCAGGAACACATCATCTTGTCATCCGAGCACACATGGGATATTTTGCTTGTGTTTTGTTTCCTTGTTATTGATTAAAATAGTTTTATTGAGGCCATATTGGTTTACAACACTATGTTTTATAAGTATAGGTTCGCACCTATACAGATGAATATTACCGCACCGCACCCACCACCAAAGCGCCAATAATCCTCCACTGTGTCCATTGGGCCCCTCGCCTTCTACCGCTCACCCTACCCTCTCCCTCTGGAAGCCTCAGTTCTGATCTCAGGATTCAGGGTTTGTTTGGGTTTGGTTTCCATCCCTTTGTTTTGTTTCTTTATATTCCACATATGAGTGAGCTCGTACAGCCTTGTCTTTCTCCTTCTCCCTTATTTCCTGGCACATGTGGCTGTAACCCTTTCTTTGTTTGACTTTGATTTAAATGATCCCAGGCATCTCTCAAGCTACTGGAACTTTCAGAATAATCCCCTGATGACTGTGCATGATTCCATGCAGGCAATGCACCATCATTTCATTAACTATTCTCCTCCTGTTCTGATATTGAGTTTGCTTCCAATTTTTTGCCATGACAAATAGTACCCGCAGTACACACTTTTCTGCAGAGAGCTTTTCTTTATCCTTTAGATCACTGTCTTGAAATCAATACTAAGGAGTGAGATGATTGCATCAAAGGACATGTATCAGAAGACATGCCTCATCACTTTCCATGCCTTCCTCAATTGCTTCTGTCAGAGGTTGTATTACTTTCCTCAGCACTAACCATGTTAAAATGGAATAACCTTACCTCAGAGCTATGGTACTATTAATTCTTTCATTTAACGTGGAACTGTAACCCTCTAAATAGAAAGGATTGGCCCAAGGTCACATTGTAGCACTGGACCTCATTCTAGGTCCCAGGTATGATTCCTAGTGCAGGACATCAACACAGATAACCTCTGTCTCTGAGTTTGATTGAATTCAAGACTTTCCTGGGTGT